ATGAGCCTTTTTTTTTCAGACCTCCTCATTATTTTATTTTACACTGTACTGCGTGTTTATCTCAGTTCATCGGTGCCCTGCTGTAAGCTCAGAGGTGGTCCACAAGATGTTCAAGCAGTATCAAAGAATATATTACTATTTAAATATGTATTGCAGACTTCATGGGGCAACCAGCTAAGTATTAAGAGCTGGCAGAAGGTCTAGGTGGACCAACATATATATGCATTTTTGCAATGGTACCGCACAGGAAAACGGCATTCACGTGTGGTTGTTCCTACTTCGCGCCGGATTTTAATTGAAGTAACGAAATTTATCCCTTGCTTCTAGCTTGGGAGGAGATGTGGGAATTGCAGAGGCTACACCATTTTTCCTGTAGGGAAGGAGTGCTTTTTAATGGAGGTCTCTGCTTTGCTTGTGTTTTGAGGCAGCACTCACAGGGGACGTGCTGGAGATTAAAGAAACTGGCAAATACCCTCCCCTACAAAGCAGCACACACAGACACAAAAACAGGCTGACTATTTTGCTGAATTTAGTACTTGTGGCAAATGCAGGCACGTTTCCTTTTTTTGGAGGCTGCCAAATCCACTTGCTCTGTCCTTAGAGTGGATCACTCGAATACAGACAGAAGACCCCCTTTAGAAAACATTTTAAACTACACTGTTGGTTGTCGCGAACAATAATATTATCGTATCTTCCATTTCCTGCTATTCCTCCTTTTGTACTACTGCAAATCCAAATAAATAAATCTACAGCAACATAAACCACAGCATTAAAACAAACCAACTGCTTGCCTGACACATTTTCCAAGGGTATAAATTGTGGGAGCGGCAAAACACAGTAATAAGGGATGATTGCCAACATCCTAGCTGCGCGTAGTTGCCAGCATTTTAACCAAGAAGAATGTAAACCTCTCAAAAAGTTTTCTTTTTCTGTATGGCCTAAATCCACTCTATAATTAGTACTGGGGAAACCAAGAGTTAACAATTCTTTGGAAGTTAACTTGTTATAAGGGTATAAAAGAAGCCTCCATGGCTTGAGTCCCCAACTCATGTTTGGAAATGCACTGTATCTTTTCTTGCGAGACAAACTTCTTGCATGTTAAATGAGGTAAGTGCATAAACAATTGCTCTATTTCACTCAACCTTTTGCAGGGAATTATAAACATTATGCGACATTCAGAAATAAAAGAGAAACTGGATTTACTAGCACTGTGTATTTGCATTTGACAGTTTACTTCCCCTAAGTGCTGAGCTGTTTGCGTTCCATAAAACAGGATTCAAAGTGCGAGTCATTTGTTCAGGCAGTGTGGAAATAATAGCTTTGGCATCTTTACCACTGGGAATGGGGTCAAAGGACGGTAAAAACAGGTCTTTGGTGTAAAATATAACTATCGTTTTATGTAATAAATTATTTACTGTAGTTCCCTCTGTCTAAACTAACAACTTACCAACATGTAGAAATGATTCTAAGTGTTGCAAAAATGAAGAGTTCTAGCCATGCTAAATCACCACAAGGATCACTAAATCTACATGCGTAGGTTCAAACGTGTACATTTTTATGGGGAAACACCGCCTTTAGATTTAGTCCTGTGTGCATCCTGTATTCATCTTTTTTTCTTATATCTACAGCATATCAATCTTGTCTTGCTTATAAAACCCATCTCAGAGACTGGAGATCTCTGCTTGATTGTTGAAATATAAACCGTAACAGAAGGCAAGCAAATCTTGGCGAACATTTATCTTTTATACCCTTGAAGCATAATGTTTATTTGTAGCTATGTGATGGGAAAGTTTTACTACAAGAAGTAAAGCTCAGTGCCACCTATAGAAAGAACCGGGATCTGAGACGAGTTCAATAATCTAAATCAGTTAAATTTGATACTACCTCCATCCAGGTTTACCTTAAACTGGTTTTATCCATTTTGAAAGCAAGTTACGTGCACTGAACTTTTGTTGCGTTACAGATTTGAACCATTTTCTGATCACTTTTACCAATTTACATGTAATTTCTGTCCCTAGCCTGGGTTTTCCCCTCCACCCCCTCCTTTAGAAGTTGCAAAAGTTGCAACAACTTCATAAAAGAAGCCCTTAGGTAAAGGGTGTATATCTGTTCTTGGCTTACATCCCAAAGCTTGGACCCACCTAGAGGAATCAAAGTTAACTTAAGGTTACAGGAGACTTCATTATGGTTTGAAGATGTAATGTAAAACATTCCTAGGGTGTTATGAAACTCACATAATTGCTGCTTAATTTAACTTTCCTTTCAGGAATGTCTTAATGGTAGTTGTGGTGTATGTATTGGAAGTTATGGAAACAATTATTCAGTTACAAGAATTCGGGTTGGTGACTTGCAAGGATTTGGAAAGGAAAGAATAAATGATGTGTTCCTTTGTCCTCTACATTCATTTATTTTGCTGAGAAGAGGCAAGACCTTCTTAGGGTGATACCTTTTACTGGACCCACTATGTTCTGAGTACTGCTGCTGTGATTCTCTCCTATGTTGCTGCTGCACTGCCTGTGAGGTGACTCCTGTTGCAATAGCTGATTCCACTTTTGCTTCTTTTTATGTTGAATGGCACTTATCAGGTATTTTGGGGAGTAGATTTTATCTGCTGCGTGGCAGTTAGGTATATTTTTTGTATAATACAATCACAGAAGTTAAAAATAGAAAATGCCAGTTAAATCATCTGCACTGATACCAAAGTCCACGCTAATGGTTCCCAAAGACATTTTGAGGCTAAGAACATTAGAGTTATAGTTATGAACATATTGGATTTCAATTTTTAATCAATGCCCCCTATTCACTGATATGCATTATAAAATTGTAAAAAATATAGCCAACACACGTTAAGAACTTAATTGTACTTGGAGATTAGTTAACAGTCTTGGGGTCTAAATATTATTCCTTGTTATTGCCACCATGGGGACTCTACCAGGAGTACAAAACTCCAGAAGTCACTGCTCTTGAGGTCACAAGTCTCCCCATCATTTCCAGGTTGTAATCCTTGGGAGGTTCTCATATAATATCTAAATTAGAATATGAATTGTATTTTGTTGGGGATTTTTTCTGTTCACTTTAAACACTTCACTTTTTCCTACTGTACTGGCTATGTGATAACACATGCATATAATGATGCAGGATTATATTTGGTGCACCTAATTTGAAGTGCTAGAATTTCAGAGATTGTGAACATATGGAGTATGAATATTGTTTCACAGTACAAATTAAGTCTTACAGTTTTTCATTGGCATAGTATTTGATTTTTTACTGCATAGCATTACAGGCTGCCTGAACGAATTAGATTTTCAGCTGTATGAATGTATGTTTTGATGATTTATACATATTGCTGTCCAAATATGGTATAAGGAGGCAGGTCTTAAGAGGGAGGAGTATCAACTTAGCAACACCCACATGTAAGAGAAAGCTAATGCTGTTAGACAAACGTTAATACACTTCAGTTAACATCTGACCTCAACAGACTTTAAGGGATAATAAGTCAATATTTTTTTTGTCTTTTCTTAGAAACAAAAGTTTTACGTTTCTGTTATTTTCTGTTTCAGTTTCAGCAATCATTAAAGCTGCTTAACAGAATGACTTCCTGTTCTGTTGTTCTCGAGGCTCCTGTGCGAAGGGTTGCTATCTTTGGAGGAACTCATGGCAATGAGTTATCAGGGGTGTTTCTGGTCAAGCATTGGCAAAAGAATGGAGCTGAGATTCAAAGATCAGGGCTCCAAGTGACACCATTTATTACCAACCCAAGAGCTGTGAAGAAATGTACTAGATATATTGACTGTGACCTGAACCGTGTTTTTGACCCTGATAATCTTGGGTAAGAACAAGCGTGCCTTGTGTATTTTTAGATCTTTTCCTTAAGAGTTGTCAGTCATGTATAGCATAATTTTACTGTTAAAATGTTAACATGATCTCTACCACTATTGTGAGGATTCAAGCACATAAGCAGTCATGACCTTTAGCCTGAAAAAACTAAATAGCATGTACTTTGCTGATGCACTGTATAGAGCGTTTGTGCAACAGGAGGCAAACTGTCACAGAAACTTAAAGACTGTGTTTAAAAATCAATATTGGATTTGTTCTATTTGTCTAAAGCTAAGTACTGCTGTTACCCTGAATTGCAGTGTCATTTCTCACATGTCCTGAAATAAACATCTTATGCAATTCAGCTTTGGGGCTATTCTTAATGCTCCTTACTGGCAGCAATGTAGCAGATATTAAATCACACAGTTATTTAAATATAGATCAATATATTGAGTGTCTGGGGAAAAATTACACGTGTCCTACAAATTGGAGGAATATTTTTAATTTTAGTTATAAACAGCATAAAATGAAATGTCAAAACAGCCAAAATGGACATATGTATAATACAGCAACATGGTACCAGGAAATTGTCAATGAAATAAGTGATCCCACTGGATTTTGTATGTTAAATTAAGATGAAAAAAAGTTTAAAAAGTAATGTAGGTGTACAGATTACAAAGGCCTAACTTACATTTGTAAACATTATTTTTCATGCAAACTTAATTCTGTTGACATAGTGCTTGAAGTGGCCTTTGGTAGCTGAACCAAGCACTTTTTTATGTTTAGCATATCTGTGTTTAACAGGCAGTTTGGTAATGCAAAGGTCTTCATAGGAAATGTGGATGAAAGTTAAGAGCATTTACTGCCCACACATTTTACACATACAACTATTTTTACAAGGCAGCTGTGCATTTTCATGTGTATTTTAATTTGCCTTTTTCTAGTGATAACATATTGTTTGTCTCATAAATTAAGGTAAATCATATTTGGTAGCAAAGGTCTGCGTCAGCCTTTTAATTGTTTACTTATCCTGTGCATTTAGAACAACTTATTTTTCCTGATTTATTTGATTTCACCTGCTTTGAAAATAAAATGTTTTAATAAATATTGGGTTAATAAGGCTTTTTATATAAAACTTTTGCTAATATTCTTCAGTAAATCTTAACAGATCACCCAGACCTTCTATATTTACATTGTTTTACATTTTATTGTTGAGGTGGAGACCTTATGAAAAGAGAGGGTGAAGTCCTAATCCTACTGAACACAAAGGCACAACTCCCATTGACTTCAAAATGGGATGTAATTTTGCTGAAAGCACTTAGTTCTTTCTCTTCTATCCAGAGACCTTATATCCATTTTCAGATGCAGACCTAAAAAACTTATTAGATTAACATAAGTACACAACATATCAGACATGTCACATGCCTGCTTATAATTAAATTAATAACTGACAAGGTATAATAAATTACATTTAAAACATTTGATTTAAAGACACCAGGCACATCTACATGAGATGTTTACTGTGGAGCTGTTTAGTTAGCTTCACAGTTAAATGTCAGTGTGTACATGCACAATGCTATTAGGCCAGAGTGAACTAATTAACTCTGGTGTACGATGGTACTACCAGTCACAAGTACTATTCTATGGCAGAGTTATTTACTCTGCTGCAACACAGGTGTAGATGCTGACGGGGCTAGCTGGGGCACAAGGGTGCTTCACTGCAGGGACTGCCTGCTGACTAGCCCCAGACTGTAGCAGTCACGCTGCAGAGGGTCTGGCTGGGGCACAAGTTGAGCTGGGTTGAAACAGCCCCAGGCTGGCAGGCTGACCCCCAAGACCTCCTGCCAGCCAGAGCTGCTGTGCCCTGGCTCAATGTGCTGCAGTCCCAGGTACACATTCAAACACGGTGCCTGGGAGCAATAAACTCTGGCGTGAGCTGCACCGGAGTTTATTTGGCTGTGTTAATTTCACATGTTGATGCGCCCACTGAGAGGAAACTTAACAAAATCTTGAAGGAAAGAGTTGCAGGTAGCAACATTATGGTTTCAAGAATTTGATTGTCTGTGCACATGGGCTGTTTTATGGGACAAGAGGGCCTAAAACAAAAGGTCTTAAGAACCTGATCAGAGTATGAAAAGTAGGTTGAGGTTAAAAAAAAGAGAGAGAGAGAGAGAGAAAAGGAAGCAAACTATGAAGGATCTTTTTGATGAAGTCCATAATTTTAGGGTAGGAATTAACTGCTGAAAGGCTTCCTTTCCAGTACAGGTTGGATAGGTCCTACCAATGATTTCAGGTGGTGGATAAGCCCTGTCATGATTTGCTGCTTAGGGAGAGAGAATTTCAGCCAGTGTAAAGTGGGAGCCAACGTAAAGAATTAAAATCAAAGTAGGAAAGACCAGTTTAGATTAAGTGACAAATTTTGCATTTTACTGAAAGGGACAACAGTAAGACATATTTCCCCATGAACAATAATACTTGTTGAATCAAATACAAACTCTTGCTAGCCAGTTTGATGGGGGTGATTATTAATTGTATTAAATCAGGAAAAAAACCCAAATGAAAAGGTTACACAGTTTTGTTGACTGCAGAGACCTAAAATGACTTTAATCTTTTTGTATTAATATTAACAGCAGAAAAGTGATGGAAGATATTCCATATGAAGTAAGAAAGGCTCAGGAAATCAATAATTTATTTGGTCCAAAAGGTAGTGATGTTGCCTATGACCTGATTTTTGACCTTCACAACACAACTTCTAACATGGGTGGTACGCTTATTCTTGAAAACTCCAGGAATGACTTTATAATTCAAATGTTTCATTATATTAAGGTAAAACTAATTTTTAATAAATGATTACATATATATTTTGATAAGCATTTGAAAGACTGTATTCCTGTACAGGGTTTGAATTACACTGACTCTTGGGGTGTCTGCAAAAAAATTGGCTGCCCATCATGATGCCTTAATAAAATTGGAGACCCCCCAGGTTATGATTTTCTAATCTTACAGGGGGGCTTTTGTCTCTTATGTGAGGGCTCACCCCCTGCCCCTGAACTCCCCCATAATTTGAGCCCTGTTCCTGTATAACAACTTAATGCCTTTATTAAAATTCGTAATTTTTATATTTTCCTAAAAGCTGGGTAAAAAAAAAAAATTTAATGATAGAATTATCTAGTATATGAGATTATTATTCAGTTTGGTCTGATATGTTTGTACAGATTTAAATCTATTGTAATCTTTAAAACCGATAGGAACACCACTGAAAAAAGAAGACAAAACAAAATACAGTGACCTCTACTTCAAAATCCTTAAATAATATTGATCTGCTTTTATATTGGTTTGTCCTGAAGTTTGATCAATTAAGATGAGAAAGGAAAAATAAGTATAGTAATGATGTAATTATTATGCTAATTACATGATATACAAACATGAAAAATAAGTGGAGTTAGATCCAGGAATAAATACTAATTGTAATTCTAACAAGTCCTAGAAGGAAGTATAAATATTGTTGGTAATGTAGCTGATACCAGTTTGAGACAGGATTTTCAGAAGTGCAACCTAAATGTTCTTACTGAAGTTCTTAGTAGTCTTCATGTGAACTTTAAATGACAGCAAAGGTAGGCCAATATTTGGTACTTTTGAAAATCCAACCCTGAATTCATATGCTGCAAAAGAAGATATTTAAGGATATGTTTCAACCTAAGATGTTTCTTCTTTCTATATTATTAGAAGACATAATCAGCTTATTGCTGCAACTATATGAAGTCTGGCATAGAGCAACAAAGTCAAAAGAAGAAATAATAGGCAGTAATCTAAAAAGGCAGTCCTAGTCCTGCATTATTCCAAACCATGTTGAGGAAATGTGTTAAATCACTGTGTCTCAGAATTTAAATTCAACTAAAAGAAAAATATTTGAAATTTACCTTAAAGCAGCTTGATTTTAGTTTTTGAAACACTGCTGTTTCAAAAACTAGAGATTTCTCTTCCTGTTGGTAACCTAAGGCTGGAACTGTGTTCATTTATATTAGCATGCAAAGTTCAGTGGAGCATGCCTGGCATGAGCTTGGGGAAGGCAGACCAACAAATATAGCTTTGTATATTTTCTAAAGATGCCCTACTTATTTTAGAGCCATGAAATAAAAGCAACATATTGAAGACACTGTGTAAATCACTTCTGCATCAGTAGTCTTCTGTAACACAACAGCATTTTAAAGTATTTGCATAACAAAGACATTTTTAAATAATTCTTCACAGAACGCTTTGGCTCCAGAAAGCTGTCCTGTTTTCCTGATTGAGCATCCTAACTTGACATATGCAACAACTCGATCTATAGCAAAGCATCCTGTTGGTAAATATGAAAGTTAAGATCACTGAACAATAAGTGTCTTGTTCTAGACATTTTTGTTTCACACTTAATTTTCATTAAATTGTACATACTCTGTGATCAGTGGCATCCATTTGCTTGGTAAATATTTGGTAAACAGATTATCTATTGATTAGGTAAATAGGTGATCTATGCTGCTTCCTAAAGAGCCCCCATTTAAATTGGTTTGCAGGATACAGAAGCCAGATGGAAAAAGAAACGGTGAAATAAAAAGAGGAAAAATGGTGTCCTGAATATAACTAACTTACCTCTTCATTTCTACTGCAGTAGACATTAACCTATAGACAACTCTTGGGATTATTTTGCCTCTAATGTTAATTTATCAGTTATTTTACTAAAGACTTTATGGAGAAGTTCTGAATCTTTTCCATAGCTATGAGCAGTCTAAAAAAAATACTTTACTGCTATTTTTTCACCTACAAGTGTTATGCTGATCATAAACTCACATCCTGCTTGCCTTATGGAAGAAGTAACAGAAACTTAATCATATTTAAAGAGCATTCTAAATATACAATGTATAGTAAACACAGAGGCATTTGCATAGAGGCACGAATACTTTTACTATGCATTCTAAATATGCCACATAGATATTTACACATCTATCAATAGTTCTTCTATTTGTACACAGGTGTTGAAGTTGGACCTCAGCCTCAAGGAGTTCTTAGAGCTGATATTTTGGACAAAATGCGGAAGATTATCAAACATGGTCTTGATTTTGTGCGCATTTTTAATGAAGGTAATAATAGTACAACAGGACAAAATAGAATTCCTCTGGGCTGTGCTAGCAATTCATTACAAGAGAACAGATTTTTTTTAAATAAATGAAGCTAATACACTCTCACTCTCAGCCAAAGAGAACTTATATTATTATTGTAGAATTGATGGCCAGTTCATTCATTTTGGTGTTAATAAATTGATTACGATTGATCTTACTCAAACCAAAGATTAGTTTACTACTACTGTCTTTTTTGTGGATAGAGAGGTGGCTAGCCACATTAGTCTGAAGTCAGGCAGAAGGTCAGCCAAGGTGTGCCTCTAGACATGCGGGGACACTGCTCTGACACGCTGTAATTACAGCGTGTTGGAGCAGAGTCAATTAACTGAGTTGACTGGAGCATGCTAATTAGCGCACTCCAGCAGGCTCCATGTTTTGTGTATTCAGCATAATTAAAGCGCCTCGCATCCCCATCCCCAGAGCACGTGTGCCTTCTGTCTGGTTCAGAGAGGCACGAGCTTTCATAGGCAGCAGTTTTAAACACATTGCTGTTGGCATTTATAACTACAATCCTTATTGTATTAAGCAGCCACAGAATTTCATGCTGTGTGGTATTACATAGCAACATGGGTCTGGGGAGAACCCACAGGGTCTCAAGTCCCACCTCTTGCTACTGCCTTGCTACTGTTTCATGTAATCCTATTCATAAATTTATAGCATGCCAAGCCAAGGTATAAGAATGTTGGACTTGTTAATCGCACTGAGAAAATAAATAATATATTAGGAATTCATTATTTTTTTAGTAACTATTGTCCTTGTTTATTGATTGGTGGGCTGAGAAACCAATAAGTATAATGAAGCTTGATCTGGAAGGTGCTTCATAAAGAGAAAGTGGGTGCCCATAAATATGTTCACAATGTATTGTGCAGGAGTATGTACATAGAAAACCAAACTTATATGAAAATGGTAATATTTATAATAAGGAAAAAAGATTATATAGATGTATTTTGTCCAGAGTTACCTCAGATCATTTCTATGCAATTTAATAAGTTTCTGTTATGCACTTATACAAGGTTAAATATGCAATGACAACAAATCCATTAATGAAGGTAAGGATTTGTACCTGGCTTCCTGTTATCAGAAACCTGTCAAAATGTCTTGCATTCAAAAGCTTGTCTAACTTTATCCCAGCTACATAGTTGGTTCAATAAAAAATATCAGCCTAGGATATCCTTGCCTCTTGAATGACTTCTGGACCACCAAAACTACCACATCACTCTTACACTACCATTAATGAAGGTGTGATTGTATTGGAAAAGTTGTCCCTAAACCATGGGTGGCACTGTTTTCTTTGGAAACAACGACGTAAGAATACACCTGTCTCCTGAAGATTCTCTTGTTTATACCTGAAGCAAAGAATTTAACACTTCCCATCAATATCATCTCATACTGTGTAATTCTGCTAAAGAAAGAAATTGCATTAACATCCCTCTGTCTACAAAATAGAGTATAAATAAGCAGCTGTACTGACACGGGCCGTGTGCCAGTGCACACTGGGTCATCTTCCAGCGATCTGACTTTCAGACAGATACTTCCATGTTACTTAAGATAATTACTAACTAGCAAACTATGAACAGATACAACTGTCTGATTTCAGACATTCTAAATAAAATAGTACATGCAATGTTCTTGTTAACTGAGAATTGTTTGAGGTGACATTAAAGATACATTTATCCTTTCTAGGGGAAGAATTTCCACCATGTACAATTGAAGTTTACAGAATAATAGAGAAAGTAGACTATCCCAGGAATAAAAATGATGAAATTATTGCTATTATTCACCCTTGCCTACAGGTAAAATCTATCAGACTTCTTCATTTGAAGCTTTTTTTAATGGGAATTCCATTTTATACTGTTTGGATTACAGTGTAGGACATAGTATACCATCAAATAAGAATTTAAAAATGATATTTGCATCTATAAATGTAATTTATTTTTTTCCTCTGAGGATCAAGATTGGCAGCCATTGAACAAAGGGGATCCTATATTTTTAACTTGTGATGGAGAAACCATTGCATATGAAGGGGATTCTACAGTATACCCAACGTTTGTGAATGAGGCTGCCTATTATGAAAAGAAAGAAGCTTTCGTGAAAACGGTCAAAGTAAAGCTTACTGCAAAAGGCCTCAGGTCCTCTTCATCTTAGAAGTAGACTATTTTAAAAGATTATTCAAATATTTCATAGATATAGGGCCAAATTAATTGCCATCTACTTCATGTAATCCAGCTGAAGTCAGTGGGGATACATGAAGCATGACTATAGACTATAAACCCTTATTTTTAAATTGCAATTCAGTTAATATTGCTAAGTACTTTTAAAATCCAAAGCAGTCACAATTTTAAGTACTACTAGTATTTATCAATGTTTAATTGGTTCTTTAATTTACAGAGCATAAAATTTATTAATTTATATAGTTCATTATTTCTTTCATATTGCATAACTATGTCTAAATAATTCACCAAATTATGTTTCCCCAAATACAATAAAGGATTGGGTGATTTGAGGTCTACATTATTGAAAAGTTGCACACATTATCAGGAGAATATTTCACTGAGTTTAAGTTATAAAATACAGTGGAAACCAGTCATAATTATGCATTGTCTAATTAATGCGAAAGACAAATATATAAAAAACTGATTTTTATTGATTGGTTTATCTGCATATTACTAACAAGAAATGTCAACTCAGATGTTTTGTGTATGGCCTCATGGGTCATTTTTCTGTTGGGTCCATTACAGAAGTACTTTCAAAGTTCTACTCCCAAGAGTAAAAAATAGTAATGGAAATAAAACCAAAACAAGGTAATGGCAAATGTCACCCCTTTATAAAGTACCCATAACTGAATGCCACTGCAAGACTTGTATTTCAAGAATTGGAGAAATCTAGAATTAACATGTTGAAAAACACAGCAGGTGTATGGGGAGAAAGGGCAGGAAAAGAAATTTTAAGTTAAGCATTTTGGGTAAAACACAAACACTAGGCAGAATGGTATAAATATGATGATGATTATCTTAATGCAGGAAATATTCTTCTTGGGCTTGTTCATTTTTTAGCCATTTATTTTTGAGGTTATTGAAGGTTTGAAAGCTTGCTGACAAAATATTCCTAAAACTTGAGAACTCAGAACTGTGCTTAAATTGAAATACAGGTGGATATTTCATATGAGCCCTAAACTAAAGGGCGGATGATATCTTATGAAGTGGGATCCATTGCATTTGGGGTACACAATTATGTTTTTTCCCTCCTGTGCACTGGCTACAATAAGGCATATATAAAAAAATTCAGAACATTTTCTTCTTTGATTATAACTCTACATTTGTTAACACTGCTTGACGTGCTAAAGCCATATGCAGTGCTCCCAGAAATCTTGTGTTCCTACCAGTGTCCTTATTTAGGTAACCAAAAATAAATAAACGAATAAATAAAATTAATGGACCAAAAAGTATGGTATTTCCCTTTTCCTTTGAGAAATGATCTATTCCTTATCCATTGTTGCTAACCAATATCCTTTATCTTTACCTTGTGTTCCAACTCTAACATGAAGGCAATAATACAACACAAAAGAGCCAAAGATGACAGAGAAAATTAAATATTTATTAAATTATGTTTTGTCTTTAACTTTAAATAAATATTACATAAAAAAGAACAGAATCTGATCTACTGTGCTTATTATTCATCATCAACCTGGTCATGGTCATCTTGTGACTCAAAGATACTGGTGCTGAATGGTCCGGCTAGGCAGTTCTAAGGCTCTAATCGAGCTCTTATTACTACACAAAACTCATATTGGGATTTTCATCTTTTCTGAGTGCCTCTTTTTATCTTTAAAATAACTCAACAAAAAAACTATTTTATCAGAAGCTATGAAGACTCAAGCACATTGTACAGAAATATTAGCAAATTTTCAACATGCTTAAAATAAAAATATGGCATTTAATATATATACATGTAAACAATATAAAAAACCAAACCATTCATAGTTATAAGTTTTGATAACCGGTCAACTAGAAAGTGCTACAGAAAGTGCAACATAGTGTTTTGAATGCAGAAAGGAGCTTAAAAGGTCTGGAATTATAGTACAATTACTTTTATTAAAAATTTCTTTGTGGACAAATATTCATTTGTACTTGTAGATGAGCTTAGGAGTTAAGTTAAAACCCAAGAAAACTCCAGATGTGGTAACAAGTATGTTGCTTAAACAATAAGGCAAACACGCACTGGATGTTTCAGTGGTGATAGTGAAAGGCCAAACTCCTAGTGATTTATACCAACCCAAACAATAACCCCCCTGAAATGAATTAATTTTCCTGACCTTTACTTTTATGAAAGGGATTTTATACCGTACAAATAAGGAAAAAGAAACAGACATGTATATTCACCCTGGGCATTCCAGACAAAGAGACAGATCTTGCAAGACTTCTCCCTTGAGGTTCTATCACTTCCCACCCCCACCCCTACTTGCAAGATCAATCAGTCCTATAACGATAACACTGACAACCGCCATGCAAGCGCCAACTGTATCCAGAACTTTCAAAATGACATACTTCATAGAGTGGTTTTATTTCCAAGCTGAAATGTCTTATTTCACATTCCAAAAACTTCATCATTTTCCATATAAAAATGGTTTCTCATGGATTAGAGATACTAGAAGAGATGCTAGAACGTCAGGCCTCAGAAGAGATCTGAATACCATCTCCAAAAGGAACAAATATTGTATACCACCTTTGTCTGATTTTTTTTTAACCGATACAAAAAAAAAATCAACCATATTTGAATATTGTCAAACAACTCTGACACGAGTGGTTTTGTTCAAGGGGCTCAAACTGAGCCAAGACAGAACAGGCCTTATTCCTTGCGCTGATATTTTATGATTATATGGACTGCAGTCACTGGACCGTCAGTCCATGAAAACCGCTCTGCCTGCTTGTAGCTGCCTGACGTACAAACACATTAGGATTCCAGCATCTTTATGGGTCCCTTTTTTGGGCCTAAATATGAAGTGCTGCACAACTAAACAGTGGTTTCTCGCAAATCGTCCATTTCATCAAATGTGTTCAGTGTGTTTTTGCTATTACTTCTTGAATTATCTTGAACTCTGTTGTAATCTAGGAAAAAAAGAAAAATTATTTGCTAAAAATATTCTACAGAAGAAATTCTTTTCAATAATCTAGTTTGGCATATAGTGTTTGTATTTAAAAATACATGAATTTAATTAATAAGGTCTATATATGCTACTATATTTTGTATAGGACTGCATTTTATCCTTGTCCCCCTCTTTGACAATGCTGAGATTTTTTTCCACTAAGCAACATGTATGCACATTTAAATCAGAACAGAACTCAAATGGGTATTTTTTTGCCATCTGCAATATCTGCAAATTAGGCTATTGTTCTACTATTCCTCTTCTAAATAACAAAAGGTTGAGAAAGAAGACTGCAACAAAGCTAAAAATGCAACTAATATGATCTATTATGCTGAAAGCAGTCAGGAGGAACTACCTAATCAGGAAGATATGCAAATTCTGCAATCTGCCTCCTTCTGTCTTCAGGATACCTAAATACCTTGGTTAATTTGGCTCCTACATATTTATGGCCTTCATCCTTTGTTGTGTATTAGCAGACCCCTTCCTCTTATATGGAGTATCACTCATCAGTGGACACAAGGGTCCAACTACACAATACAAACAGAGTGAGGGCCCAAGTTCACATTTAAAAATAGGAATTGGAGACAAAGTTCCAGAGTTTTCTTTTCTGAAGCATATTAAATGTGAAAGAAAGCAAGTTTTCAATAAACCTGTGAGAAGCAGATCATTAGGCTTGTAGGGCTGGGGAACAGACAATTTGCTATATTGCTAGAATTGTTACAATTTACATTTTAACAACATTCAGCTTTACATATAAGAACTACTTAAATATTTTTATAAGAACAAATATGACAAGGAAGGCCTTTATAAAATTGTATATTCATTCAAATAGAACAATTTTTACGTTAACGATACCTGTTGCCCCTGGATCTTCATTAATAAATGAAACATGCGTTTTCCATTCGGTCCATTTCACTTCATTAATCCTGTTTGTATTGTATACAAATTGCATAATTAGCATGCATTATCTCCAGCTTCATAGCTACAGTTCCTCTCTTGTTTCTTAATTACTTCTCAGAATTGTCACAATATCATCAAATACCTGTTTTGCCAGTAGTAAAAGAATGCATGTATTTTGCAACATTATGTAATGTATTCACCTATTTTATATTTTCACGCATTGTTAATACTGGTTTAGAACTCACATTTCATAAAGATGATTATGTTCTCAAAGTCTGGTAATATTTTGCAGTTAAAGAGCAACAATTACAAATGGTCATTTTAAATTAACATTCAAAGGAGATTACAACCAATTAAAATGCACTGCAAACTAGAGATTTAGGAACTGGGCATTAAAATCGTATATGAACATAAATAAAATCCCCACAAAAAGATGATTTGTGTATAAGCAAGACTACACATTTCCAGCTTTATTAAGCAGTTGTTCACAGTAGAAATTCTAAACAAGATTTTTGTAAACAACTTACTGTTCCTACTTACAAAATCTAAACCAGTAAAAAATAGTTTATATATTTAAACAAAAATATTTTGAACTGACTTTTGTGTGCATTAAAACCCAAAAGCAGCACACATGCCAGACTAAAAAGTGTGTTAGTATATTATTACCTTAAGCATACTCTAGTGTCATTTTCTGCTACTTTACACAGCTCTCCCAACTCGAACTTTTTCCTCAGGTATTTTGGTAAAATTTTTTCAAATTCCAAAATGGTCCTGGCTCTCTGGCAAAAATATATTATAACGTTAGAGTGGCGTTCTTAACCATGTTTAATGTAAATGTATTCCTCTTTGCATCTATAGATTTCATATCATATTTAAGTGAATCTATGAATCTATGACGTGTACGTTCATTGTTGGAGTATGATCCATTATGTTCTTTTTGCATATCTACCAAGGGATTTTATAATCTGCACTGACATCAACAGTAGTAAATAACCATTTAATACTAAATTCAGTTGATGTACCTGCCAAGGGTGTGTAAACAAATAGGAAACAGAGAACTTCCTACAGGTGTCACATTTATTAAACATTTCTTTATAGTTGCTAAAATTACAGGACCAAATATTTATTTCAAATTTTGCTTGTCTAAGTCTGGAGGACTATTTATTATTTGTCCCACCTGTCTATCTACTGTCTACCATTGTTGCTTCTAACTGCTCTGACTTCAGGGGAGATACTCCAAGTTTACATGGCTGCAGCTCAGAGGAGAATTTGGCCATTGCATCCATAGTTGGAAGAACAAAACAATATGTAGCTAGCCAGGTTATCACTAAATCAAAACTTAAATATAGATTAACACGATCTGTTATTTTTACAAAAGTTATCTTTCAAACTAGAAGTGGATGGGCCTTAACTAAGTGAGGTGGGGGGAACTATGATTTATGGTTTAATATTGCAAACAAACCTGGAGTTTCCAAATGTGCTCACTCTCTTTAGAAATATTTTCCACGGTTTCTCCCATTAATGCAATCAGCATATTCAGAAGGAGAATAAAAGTCAGTATTACATAAGTTATGAGAATAAGAAGGAACAGCAAAGGATATTTTGAATTCTGCTGGATCTCCAGATCTCCAAGTCCTATGGTGAGTTTAAAAAGCTCCATGAGAACTTTGCCCAGACTGCTGTAGGAATGGCATTCAGTGTTATTGGGGCAAGTATCAATCAATGCAGCAAGAGCTAAGGAGAAAGAAAATGGGGAAAAAAGGTATATTTCACATGTATACATCTCATATCCCAAAGAATAAAATAGTACAATCCATACTATGGAGAGAGGTTACTTTTCACCCACTGCATTCTGAAAGGAAACAGAGAACCAAACCAGTAAGATACAGCAACAGCAGATAACAATTCAGCAAAGCAAGACCAAGAGAAACTAAAAAGGGGCCATTTAGCTGGAGAGGATACAGTTATCTACATAGATATTTTAAACACTCCCACAAAATGGATTTTTAAATATCCACAAGAAGCACCTACACCTCTATCTGGAAGTTTGTCACCAGAACAACAGTACTCTTATCCATAATAGCACTAAACATTTAATCTCACAGAAAAGTATCAGTATGTTTTCTCCAG